TGAAGCGGCAGATGGAACAAAACAGTGGCGGGAGGAAAAACCTTACTCCTTATATTAGTTAATAAAAAAAATTACTAAGTACACTTAGAGTGGGAGATTTCAACACCCCCCCTCTCAATACTATACAGGTCCACCAGAAAGAAACTTCACAAGAAAATACAGGAAATAACAGAAGCTATGACCCAATTGGGTTTAACAGACATTTATAGACCATTCCATCCAAACACAAAAGAATATACCTCCTTCTCAGCTCCACATAGAACCTTCTCTAAAATTGACCACAACCACATACTCGGCAATATAGTAAAGCTCCATAGGTAGAAAGAAAAAAAAAAAAAGGAATATCCCCATGTAGCTTATCAGACCATCATGCTTTAAAGACAAAAGTCAAAACAACAAAAGTTGAAGGAATGCTACAAACTCATAGAAATAGAACAATGCCCAATTGCTCCATTCCTGCATCAAGGAGGAAATAAAGAAATTAAAGTCGTCCTAGAATTCAATGAGTAGTGTAAGGAATAGGGTTTTTCTGCCTGCCACCACTCGTCTTGAACTGCTGCCGTGCCAGCCCCAATTAACACACAGAGATTCTGTATTTGATATTATGCTGTTGGCCAGGTGCTAGTTTCTTATAGGCTAGCTCTGTCTTAAGTATTAACTCATTTCTATGTATTTCCACGTGGTCTTACCAGCGAGAGGCAGCTGGCGGTTCTATTCTCTCCAGACTCTTCCATGTTGACTCCTCCTTACTACTTCCTCTTTCCTAGTCTCCTAGTCCCTCCTATCTCCTTTCCTATTGGCCAACAGTGCTTTATTCATTAACCAGCATGAGAACCATTTACAGAATGACATCTCCCATCAGAGTAGGAAGTCACAACATATCCAAACTTATGGGACACTTTCAAAGCAATGATAAGAGGAAAGTTCATAACTCTAAGTGCCCACATGAAGAAACTGAAGAATAGTCACATTAGAGAATAAACAGCACTAATCAAAGTTCTAGAAGAAAAAGAAGCAAACTTACTCCAGAGGAGTAGACACCAGGAAATAATCAAATTGAGAGCTGAAATCAATAAAGTAGAACCTAGGAAAACAATATACAGAATCAAAGTAACAAAGAGTTGATTATTCCAGAAATCCAACAAGATTGATAAACCTTTATCCCAACTAAACAAAAAGTAGAGAGAGAGAAGATGCAAATTAACAAGATCATAAAAGAAAAGGGGGACATACAACAGACACTAATTAAATATAGAGAATTTTCAGGTCATACTTTGAAAACCTGTAGTACAAAAAATTCCAAAATTTAACAGACTACATTTAGGCTAGTAATTATAATAACTGTCATAGTAATAACCATGGTGATGTCCAAAAATAGTTCAGCTGATCAGGCTGTCTTAATGCCAGCTTCTGAAAACTATGAAATGTAAGTTTTGATGAAGGGGAATTTGTTTGTGAATTATTTCGGACTGTTTATTGCCTCAAGTTTTCTGTATGAATGAAGTTAATCCTATATTGGTTTCAATACAAATTCTTTACTAGCACTTGAATTTTAACTAAGTGCCTCAATCTGATACAACAGTTTTCTTCTGTGTTCCCAGTCAGAGATAAGAAGTGGATCTAGAAGGGTAGAAATAATGACTAAAACAAACCCTGTTTTACTGGGTTGACAGACTACTGGTGTTTGTATAATGCACAATTGAGCTCAAAATTAAAACTGGTTTTGTAAATCTTCTTTTTCAAGTCACATCAAAAATTTCCAGAATGCAGTAGAGTTTTACCATGATTGGTATAAAAATCATTACCATTCTTCCGTGTGTGTGTGTGTGTGTGTGTGTGTGTGTGTGTGTGTGTGTGTGTGCTTTGACACCACACCTATTTGACATTGTTTCTCCTCTTGCATTTCATATTAAGTGTTACATATCAACATTTCATGTGCCATTCGAATTCTTCTGCACACTACTTTGCCCAAAGAAATCTCAGTTAGTCTCAAGATATAGAATACTACATAGGAGAGGGATTTTAAATAACAACAATTAAACACAAGTTTATAATAAAATATGTCTTTGTTCGAACAATCAGTTTAAAATAAACAAAAAGAAAAACAGTATTGGTTTTAGAAAGAGTTTACAAGAGGGCCAGGAGTGAGTTCCATTATCCACATCAGTCTGAAATGCAAACCCAGCACTAGAGTGTGATTGCAGGCTGTGTGAGAGACCGGAGTCTCTCTTGACAGCCTTGATGACATATGGCAAGTTCCTGATTATGTGCTAAGTGCTGCTGATGTGCAGATTCCTAAAAAGAAAAACTCAAGTTTAAAAATGGAATAAAACCTTAAACTTCCCAAGTTCTAGGAACTCAGTTCCCAGCTGAAAAGCTGGTAAATGCCAAATACATATTTCCAGAACACCAGCTTCTAAGAGAAGTTCTTTCCATCACAGGAGATAATGAATACCTGTGAGACAAGACTCAAATATAAAAGTGCTGAAATGTTAAGGCATACAGCTTAAAACATTCTTTTAAAGAAGGGCACAGATGTTTCCTAATGGAAAGATTGACCATGAGGGGATACATTTGGATGCTTTTTTGCAACTTTGCTACTGGCTCTCTCATGGGACCAGAATCAGGAAACAAAAAATTCTTTGCTCTATAGTGCTCTATAAAGATCAAGTTCACATTTTCTCTGAAATAATTTAATTTGGGGAACAGAGGAATATATTTTCCTACGAAAACACTCCCAGTACAAATTTCTATTTGATAGTAAATTATCCATGGAATTTCTTAGCAAATATATTCATATATTTCATAGTAAAAGTATCTTTTCTCTAGGGGAAGTATCACGAAGGTGGTATTGATGTGAACCCTGAACATTCACAACCATGGTCAAGATCATTTCCAACTGCTAAGGTAAGTTTTTCAAATGTGCTTATTAGATTTTTTGACTTTTCGTATATGGGAATTGTTACCTCTCATTGTTTGTCAAATACAGTCACAGAGATTTTCCTCTTCATTGTAATATTTAAAATATGTCAGATACATGTTTTACCATTCTCATTATATAATGGGGAACTAATAGAAATAAAAAAAAACTAAGAAGACCCACCTATGTATTATATGAAATATTTCTTTGTCCCTGTGTATTTCCATTAATAATCAGAATAAATCACGAGGATAAAAATGATTTGTTATAACTCACTCATAAGTCTTAAATATTAGTATTAATTACATTATTATTAATTTCTTGATTAGAAGCACAAACCCATTTTGAGATCTATACCTGTGGCTTCTTAGAAATACTTTTGGGGAGGATTCTTCTTGAGTTCATGACAGGTGTCAAACATTTCCCTATGTTTTTTTCCCACTCATTTAATCTTATCTACTAAATGCACACAACTTAAAAATATAATTTGAAGTCTTTTTCTTGTAACTGTTGTATATATTTTGCCTCTTTAATCAACTCTAACAGTAAATTATATGGCAGTTTTCACTTTATAAATGGATGATGAAGCAGCTTCTTGATGTGCAAGGAAAAGAATGCAAAGTGAGAGGAGTGATGGGAGGGAAAGCCAGCTTCACTTGCTCTTTTCTATTCCTGTATGGACATGTTTGGCCACTGCTGCAGTAGTTCTTATGGGTTACAAAGAATCCTGGGAGCTCCACTTTATAATGATGTTAGCAAAAAGTGACCTTATGATAGGCCAATTCCCAGAATCTAGAAGCTTGAATTTCTTCATACTTGGAATTTAAATATATCACGATGCATCTGCATGTTCACTGACACCCAAATCATATAAAATGCATTGAATGTTATAAGCACATTCGAGATAAAATTATGACTCAACATTTGTATAAAATAATAATATGGAATGTAAAGCTTGATGGTAAAAATGTGAGTAATAATGGCTGTTAAAAGTGGAAGGGAGTGGGGAATAGGGAAGTAGAGTGAAGAAAAATGTATAGTTCAATATAAAAATTTAGCAGGCAAAATTAAGTAATAGCAATAATAATCAATGTCATCATTTTCTTCAGAGTTCCAGCATAGAAACAATAACATCTATAGTTTATATTATAAAAATAAGTATAAACTTAGTAGAAAAAATAATGATATTAATCATCAACTTTGTTTAAATGTGTGATATATTATTATTAAGAAAAAGTTTTGTCATTTTATTTAATATTGATATTGATATTATAAATGGTCCTATTCATCTTTTCCTTACCTCTAAATTAAGAAATAACAGCAGCAATACAGGTTATTAAAATTATTAAAAGAATGAGGAATAATGTGTAAGACATAGAAAAAATATTTTATTGTAGCTATTAGAAGTCTTTCACATATATTGTAAATTATTATGCATCATTTTATAGTAACATATGGATTCTTAATACTTTTTTTGAAAAGTAAATCAAGATGAGTATTTTTCCAGATCCTGGTAATTTTTCTGAAATGAATGTAATCATAACATATTTATATTTGTTTCTTGCAAAGCCAAATATCTTTATTAAGTGATGAATAGAAAACTGAGCTACCTTCTCTGGATTTTTTTGAGACCTGAACACAATTCTTTTTTTTCCAAGTCATGAAAGTCAATTTACTGTATTGATGACTAGAGTTTATAACTCAAATGTTTTTTTGTTTTTTTAGTTATATTTTCCTTTCTTCTGTGGTTCTTTATTTAATAAGTTTAAGAAGCAACATTTTTAGCTTCACATTGGTGACTATTACTTTGATCCACAAACTACTTGAAACCCTCAACTTACAGCTGTATTTTCAAAAGTTTTTGCTATTTGTGCTCTTTTCAGTACTCTTCATCCAGTCATACAGGAGTCAATTTGAGTAACGAAGTATGGAGAATAGCTTTTTTTGTTCATGAACAATAACAACATCTATACTCACGAAATTTTACAACTGAGTAGCATCTAAATGTTAATAATGAGAATACAGATACAAATGAATTTGCGGATGCCTTATTTTCCCTGACAATGTGATTAACTTTCTGATGAAGCAGATGGAAAAGAGAAATGTGACAGAGTTTGTTCTCTTGGGGCTCACACAGAACCCAAAAATGCAGAAAATTGTATTTGCTGTGTTTTTGGTCATCTACATAGTCTCTGTGGTCGGAAATTTGCTCATTCTGGTTACCATTACGAACAGTCGATTGGTACAGTCCCCAATGTACTTCTTCCTTGCCTATCTATCCTTTATTGATGCCTGCTATTCTTCTATCAATAACCCTAAAATGATTTTTGATTTGCTTCATGAAAAAAAGATTATCCCATTCAATGGATGCATGACCCAGGTCTTTGCAGAGCATTTTGTTGGAGCTACTGAAGTCATCCTACTTATTGCTATGGCTTATGATCGTTATGTGGCCATCTGCAAGCCCCTGCACTATGCCACCATCATGAACCGAGTAGTATGTAACCTGTTAGTGGGAGTGTCATGGATGGGAGGCTTTCTTCATGGAATCATACAGATCTTGTTTATTATTGATTTACCCTTCTGTGGCCCCAATGTCATAGATCACTTTATGTGTGATCTTAACCCTTTGCTTGATCTGGTCTGCACTGATACCCACATTCTGGGGCTCTTTGTTGCTGCCAATAGTGGGTTTATCTGTCTATTAACATTTCTACTTCTTTTGGGCTCCTATACAGTAATCCTGTACTCACTAAGAAACCACAGTGCAGAAGGGAGACGCAAAGCCCTCTCCACTTGTGTCTCCCACATAACAGTTGTTGTCTTATTCTTTGTGCCCTCCATATTTGTGTACATGAGACCTGCAACTACATTACCCATTGATAAGGCAGTGGCTGTGTTCTACACCATGATAACTCCCATGTTAAACCCTTTAATCTATACCTTGAGAAATTCTCAAATGAAAGATGCTTTTAGGGGATTGTTCAATAGAAAAATTCATTCAGAAGACAAATAAATATATTCCTATTCACATTAGAAAATGACTCAATGTAGATTTTAGTTTGACTCCATATACAACTAAGGTATAAATCATCATGGCCAAATACCAGGACAATTAAGTACTTAGCTAATTTTATACTTACAGCCTGATGAGTTTAAATCTATCTAAAGAGTGGTCAAATTAAAAAAGACAGCAATGAACAGTCTTCGAAATTTTAATGCCTCAATCATAATCCCAAGAAAAAAAAATTAGAGCTCACTACTCAGCATAAGTCCCAGTCTCTTGTTATGAAGATGCTTGACATAAAGCCTTGCACTGAGTATGATTTGGAGCAGACTCCAAAAGACTCAAATAACTTCCTTATAACAGTTATCTCAGGCCTTATGCTATTGTTCCTAGCTAGCACTTCATTATAGGGAAAGGGCATTCAAGATAGCCCAAATACAAAACACTCACATTAGTATATTTAAATCACAGGGCTAGCAATATGGCTTAGTGAGAGCCATTTGGGGCTCTCCCAGAGACACAGGTTCAATTTCTATGACCCACATGTTGCGCCTCTTCGTGACTCTGAAGGCAGCAAGGGGAAAAGTAATAAAATTAAATCACACATAAGACCCTCATACTTATAATGGGAGGTTAACTACCATATAAAGGAACTAACAGAAGTTATGAGTTATGACTGAATTAGATTTACAGACATCTATAAAACATTCCATCCAAACAGAAATGAATATATCTTCTTTTCAACACCACATCAAACCTTCTCTAAAATAAAACACATACTAGGCAACAAGGCAAGCCACAACAGAAGCAAACAAAAAATAAAAAGAAAGAAAGTAATAGAATGGAATAAATTTCTTTATCTTATCAGATCCCCAAAATTTAAAGTTAGAATTTAACAATATTATAAATTTGAGAAAGCCTACAAACTCATGGAAATTGAACAATGATTAGTTGAATTATTCCTGGGTCAAGGAAGAAATAAAGAAATTAAAGGCTTTCTGGAATTCAATGAAAATGAAGACACAACATACCCAAACTTTGGTACACATTGAAAGCAGTGCTAAAAGGAAAATTCATAACACTAACTGCTTACAAAAGTGACCTGGAGAATAGTCACAGTAGGGACTTAACAGCACACATGAAGGCTCTAGAAAACAAAAGAAGCAAACACATGCACGAGGAGTAAATGGCAGGAAATTATCAAATTGAGGACTGAAATCAATAAAGAAGAAACAAAGAAAAGAATGCAAAGAATTCCTACAGCTTATAAACACTTTTTGTAGATTTATGTTGTTGTGGCTTTGTGAAGGGTAATAATATTTCTCTTATTACTTTCTCAGCATATTTATGGTGTATATATAGGAGAGAGCTACAGATTTTCTTTTTACATAAATCCTGTATCCTGCCACTTGACTAAAGGTGTTTATGATAATTATCCTCTGAAATCAATTCATGCTTCCAGTGCTTGCATTATTCAACAATTCAGGAGAAAAATTCAGTGACATTCCCATGAAAAGTTAATATTCTAATTTTGAATTACACACACATATATTTTAATACTAAGTTTAGATTATGAAACCATCATTTAATTTGGCAAGTATCAAACAACTTTCTAAAATCCCCTTTTTTTCAGTATGCCTGTTAATGCATCATTTATCATAAAACAAAATGAATGCCATTAAAATTTTATTATGAGAATAAGCAAGATGATTCTTAGAAGCATTAAGTTATATAGGTTACAACTAAATGTGTGAAGTGCTTGCCATGACTACAAGAGATTGACCACAGAAAACAGAAAAATGCTGAGTGCAAATGGTCATGATTATAATCCGAATGGAATTCTGGGATTTGGAACCTAGCCACCTGAACCATTTGGTGAAATTATAACTAAAACTATGAAAAAATAAAGTGAACAAGATAGGTTTAAAATTGTTACTACAGTCAAATGTATGCTTTGTAAGAAATCTTAGTAAGTAGTAAAATTTTATTTGTGGGGCACAAATATAGGTCATGTGTTATATGATTCAAATATCTTCTTTCTACTCTCTCTACTACTATTTAAAATAGATTTATATCATAAAGTTCCTCATAAACCTTAAATATAGACTAACACCAATTTCCTCTATCACTAACTCAAGGATTTCAAAACCCTTGAATACTACTTATGAGGTAGAGAGAGCACAACTTTGGAAAACAGAATAAATGGTATTATCATTTCAACCTGTAGCTTCTAGTATATATTGAATTGCTAACTTTCTGCATCTCGAAGGTATTGTAATAAACTTGAGGTAGGCTAGGGGTACAAGGAAGTCATATACAGGACTTCTGCATTATACACAATTTTTTTCAAATCTTTCAAGGATTCAGTCTTAATGCTCCCAACCAAGAATATTTTGTATGCACAATCACAAAAATAAAATAGTTTAATCTAATAGGAAACATTTCCATGTAATGATAGATAATAGCCACCTCCATTCTCTTGACATCTGGAAATCAGAAACAATTAGGTCTTCATTTATAATGTATATCTCAATCAAGTTAATCTGGCAGTCAAACTGTTCTCCTTAATCAAATCAATCTCCCTAATCTTGTCTTTTATGTGTTATCTCAGGGCCTTGGTGTATCCTTACTGTAGAAACACAAACCTAAGCATCCATTTTGCCATGGGCAAAGTCCAGAGGCAGAGTTAATACCTTTATCTTCTATATGGCTATTTACTGAGTATTAAACACTCAGTGCTTTACAAAGCCCCCATGGAATCTAGACTTATTATAAACTAATAAGAATCTTTGCGAGTAAACAAGGTAAATATAGAAGTGAACATGTCTGAGAAAGGGATGAAATTAAGAGCAGTGAGGAGGAAGAACATAATTAGTATGAGAGTAGAATATGGTCAAATTGTATTTTATCTTATATGAAAATGTTTTTTGAAGCAGGTGTATGGACAATAAATATACATCAAGAAAGAAAAAAAAATAAGTACACATTAGTTCTTCAATCTTTCTAAACATAAAAGACAGTGAATTGGCCCAGTACAAATATTCACAATAGCCATGGGACCTCTCTAAATTTCTAAGTCAATAATTGCAACATAATATCTAAACATATGAGCAACTATCCTAAGAACTCTGTGCACTGCCATGTAAATATTCACATGTCTATGAACAAAATAGAAAGCATGATATTTGCAGAGCTCTGGTTAACCACTCATGATAGTTATTTTTCATAATTGTAAGCTTCTCACCTTCACACTATCTTTGCTTAGATTCTCTACCATTAAACCCATGACCCTTCTTTCTTCACCATTCATTTCTTTCCAACCATAATCTCCACTACTATCATCCTAAGCACTTGTTAGATTTTACCTGCATAGTTATAATATTAGCAATAATTTAATTATCTTCCATTCTTTCATTGTTTTATTTAGCCTTTTAAGTGTAAATTTGAACATGATCAGTTCATTCTATTCATCAAAATTCACATCTTTGCAATATATAAAAATAATTTAATTCATTTGATAGTGTTAAATTGATCAATGTATCCCCAGAAAGTCAGATGGCATACTTACCTGCAGAAATGGAAGTCTCTCCAGCATAAAATGGCTGTCAGTTCCATAGCAACCAAGTTCAACCAGTTCCTTCAACATATTTCATCATTACTATTCCAGCTCTTAGACATGTGATAAGCAATTTTAAGAGCTGAACTATATTTGGATCTCTCAATTCAGCCTTCATATCCATTTTGTATATGATATTTTTGACAACTTCTAAAAGGAAGTAAAAATTTAAAATTCCTGTTGCTACTACAGTGCTCTTCAGTATCAGGCCATGATTGTGCACATAATAAAAGACTTAAAAGAATTACTGACTGATGGGAGATGCCATTATGTATATGTTTCTCATACTGGTTAATAATAAAGCACTGTTGGCCAATAGGAAAGGAAGATAGGAGGGACTAGGAGACAAGGAGGAAATAAGAAGTAGGGAGGAGGAGTCAAGATGGAAAGTCTGGAGAAAGCAGTATGCCGCCGGCTCCCTGGTAAGAGAAATACATAGATCAGCAGAAATAGGTTAATAATTAAGGCAGAGCTAGCCAATAAGAAACAAGTAACCAGGCCAACAGCATTGTATCAAATACAGAGTCTCTGCCTATTATTTGGGGCTGGCGCGGTGGCAGGACAATACCAGGCGGTGGGCGGAAAAAACCTTACACCTTACAAATGGCGCCCACGTGGCTAATAAGAACTTACACTTAAAATTTAACAAAAGCTTAAAAAAAGGGTTTTAGAAACAAAGGAACAAAGACAAACAAGCTTTCTTGCTAGCAGCATTTTTCTTGGTTGAACTCTTACTTGCGAAAGACAAGCAGATTGTGCGGCTCCTTTAAGAGAGGTTTCCTGACTCAACATAAGCTGCAAAAAACCGCATGGCTTTAAAAAAAAAAAAAAAAAAAAAACACTGCTAACAATTTATTGGTGTGTATGAGAGATGGCTATGGCAGTGACCACATCTCCAAGCTGGCAGCATGCCTGCTGGACGGCAGTGTTGACCAGGGCAGTGACCACAGCTTTCATTGCTGGCGGTAAAATTACCCGCCACCATCTTTGATAACCGCGGCAGAAACAAAGACTTTCATTTTAACAATGTTGTTTAACAGATAAAGATTCATGGCCAGAAAAAGATAAAGATTTACAGTAAGACAGATTCTCATTAAGAAAAGGTGCTAGAAGTTTACAGTGTGTTTTAAAAAAATACATAGGCTTGGGGAAAAAAGATGAAAAACTCAAGAGAGAATCTGGTTACTGTATGCTATTGTGTTGTCTCTGCATTGTTTGACTGCCGAGAAAATAATAACAACTGATAAAGGAAATGCTGCTGAATTAATTCAATTTATATATTTTAAAAATGCTTTGACTCCAAAATTTAAGTCTAAGGACAAGTTACTGGGGAAAAGGATTTCTATTTTTGTTTTCACAGAAAATGAAAAGCTGTGGATTCTTTCCAGACTAATGTTGTTTGAGCAAGCCAGACCCCCTGAAACAAGAGTTCCTGGTGATCCAACATTCAAAACAGCTTGGACAAAGCAGCCTTGCAGACTACAACCAGGATTTCTGGGTCTTCTTAGGATGCCCATGACAGCGCCCCCTATCAGCGGGAAGTAGTTTGGAAAGAACGACGCCCAAATTCCCAAATATTGTTTATAAATGTTTGTTTTCATTTAAATGGACTTGGTTATAAATGGTTAATGATCACAACCAATATCTTTTTAAAGGTAAAATGGGAATTATGATATAGATATGAATACTTTGTTTTGGAACAGATTTTCATTTATTGATACAATTTAAGGTCAATAAGGTGATATGTATATTTCTCCTTTTGTTTAGGTATTGTGTTTATTGAGCTCAATTAGAAATGTAATGTATAATGTAGTACAGATTATAGATAGTTACCTATGATAGTTAGAACTTATAGTTAAGTTAGTTAGTATTTCTAGATATACAGACATATATTTGAGATGGATAGGCATTCTTCAAACCTTTCAAAGACCTACAGAATATGGCATTTAAAATGGTTTAGGGTTTTTCTTGACAATGAGGCACAATTGCTCCTGGCAACACCACCTGTGTCAGAAAGGAAGATGGACATTGAAAAACGCGTTATGAAGTTTGCCTCCAATATGGCAAGACTAGCCATTTGGACAAGATACTGCTCTTGTCTGGACTGTTTGACTTTGTGCTATATAAACTGGACATGCAGGGCCCACAGAAAAGTGACTGCTGATTCAAGATGGACATTGCTACAGAAATCTGCTTCATGGAAGAGGCTGCCAGACAGTCTGCAGGACACAGAGAAAAGTGACTGACAAACTGCCAATACAAGAAGACAGTTTAAAGTTTCCTGCTTTACTGGAGAGTCTGTCAGACACACTATGGCCTATGGGCTGAAGATGGAAGATTACAGAAGAACTTCAGGTGACTGACAAGGCAAGATGTCTCTGTCATTTCTAGAGTTTATATACTATCCTTCTGTGGTCTTTGAAGGAGTTGAAGACAGATAGTTATGGTTATAGTTTTCCTTAGTTAGGATTCAATGATAAGGTACATATAGGACTTTAGACTCACAAGATAAAATAGATGATGGAATATTTTCTTAAATCTTACTAAATGTTAATGGACTAAATATTGTTAACTGTGATTCTTATTTGTCTGATATATTTTGCTATGTTAAGGCTAAAACCCTTCTTTTTATTTAGACAGAAAAGAGGAGATGATGGGAGATGCCATTATGTATATATGTTTCTCATACTGGCTAATAATAAAGCACTGTTGGCCAATAGGAAAGGAAGATAGGAGGGACTAGGAGACAAGGAGGAAATAGGAAGTAGGGAGGAGGGGTCAAGATGGAAAGTCTGGAGAAAGCAGTATGCCACCGGCTCCCCGGTAAGAGAAATACATAGATCAGCAGAAATGGGTTAATAATTAAGGCAGAGCTAGCCGATAAGAAACAAGTAACCGGGCCAACAGCATTGTATCAAATACAGAGTCTCTGCATATTATTTGGGGCTGGCGCAGTGGCAGAACAATACCAGGCGGTGGGCGGAAAAACCGTACCCCTTACAACTGACCCATCAAAATTTATAATTGTAAATATATTGCATGTTTTAACTATTTAAACAACTTCAACTGTAGTTTGGATTAATGAGAACATGTTTAGTGATCAAGTAATTTTTTAAAAACTTCTTCAATTTCATTGGTTTTTAGTCTCTATAGCCCACAAAAGCCAGTTAGCCTGATGTTCCCAGTAAGTAAAACAAATGTTTGTACAGGTGATTCTTTAAATCTAAGTCAAGGCTAGCAAAGGTACAACACCAGAAAAAGATGTTCTCATGTGGACTCTTCTACAAAAGTGCTAGGAATCTGAATAGAAGTAGAAAATCTAGTCCCATAAGGAGGTTACCTTAATAGGAATAGAGCTTCTATTTTACATGTTTATTTGTTTTTTACTTTTATCTTAATTTTTCATAATTTTTTCTTTCTTTTAGGTACTGAATCGTTTTCTAAGGACACTGAGCAACAAAGGTTCTGGGTTAGGGTGGGTAAGTAGGTTAGTGGAATCTGGAATGTGTTGAGGAAGGGTAAAATAATCAGAAAGCCCTGAATAAAAATATATCTCATTTCAAAAAACTAAAATGATGAATTTAAATCAATTAATTAGTAATTTAAGGTTCTATTAGTTAGTAATAGACATCTTCAGAAAAAAAATTCATCATGTCACATAATGTTCAGAGGTGAGCTTCACACAACTTAGATTAATTAAACCTCAAATGACAGAAATCAGTTCCCAGCTAGATTTGTAGTGTTGTCAGTGAGGCCAAGTGACAGGAGTGTGCCACCTTGATGAGCACACTCGAATACCACTTCTCTTCCCACTACAGATATAAAGCTTCAGCACCATAGACAGTATCTACATGTGGTTATGTGAAATACAGCAATCTCCTTCTACTGGGTTGTTATAAAGGTTAATATACTTGATACATGCAAAGCATGTAGACATATGGCTAACTCATGTGTTTTTGCTGTGGTGACTTTCATTACTGGTTATCCAGTTAAGTCTTCCCTTTCATAAAAATGTATTTCGAGTTATATGTTTGATTTTTACATTGAATCACACCCAAGTTTCTTCCTTCCAAGTGGCTGAGATAAACAAGATCCTTAATAATCCTGATTGCTGTTCAGTAGAAGCAACATGATAAAAGTAACTTTTATGGTTTTTATGAACTATAAAAATAAAAAGAACAAAAACTACTTAGCATATTGAATATAGGATCTCTGTAATGAAGGTAAAATTGAAATAGAACACCTCTAATAGTATAGATTCAAGGATATGAAAATTAAAGAAAAGTCATCATTTGGGATGAAAGAAAAGAAAGTACAATTTAATGGTTATAAAAAGGAAAACACATATCTAGGCAAACTAATTGATACAACCCACCTAGGAAACCAGACTTCAAAAACAAAGATTTAGAGATATTAGAGATATGGTTTTTTTTTACATCAGGTTCATAAAATAATATGATTAATTTGTGGGTGTGTTTTCATTAGTATATTATAAAATTGAAGGATGCAAAATAAAAGAACACCCACTACTAAGGTTTATTCTCCTGGATTTGGTAAGATGCTCAGCTGTAATAGGTTCTTTTATGAAGCCTGATGACTTGAGTCTGAGGCCTAGAACCTATATGACAGAAAGAGAAAACAGACTCCTTTAAGATGCCCTTTGACTTTCACATAGATTCCATGCTAAACACACACACACAAACATACACACACACACAGAGAGAGAGAGAGAGAGAGAGAGAGAGAGAGAGAGAGAGAGAGAGAGAGAGAGCACGGAGTAAAACAGAAATATGTAGATATGAAACAGATACACAGAGAGACAGGTACAAACACAGACCCACAGAAAAACAAATGTAATAAAAGTAAATAAGTAAGGATTCATTCATCTTCCGAAATAAAAAATCACTGAGGAATTTAGTGAAATTTTATAATCTTTGTGTGTGGGGGGGTTCTAATGAGTTTAGTTGTCATGAATAGACAGGGTTAACTTGCTGCAGATATCTGCTGTTTTGCCCTTACTTTTAGTGACAAAATAGATTCATCTGACAGGCAAAAACTTGGAGCCCAAATGATTTGCTTCTCATCCTGGGCCATATCTGGCTTCTCTGTGATAAACAAGCAAGTTTTTGCAATGTCTATGGACTGGAAGAATATGAATTTTCCTCATTCAGAGTGGTAAAACTGAACAAACAATATTCAAACAAAAAGGAGAGAACAGTATACTTCAGATGACATGATTAAACAGCACATACAAGATAAACAATAGAAGTCTGTCAGTAATATTGATGCTAAAATCCAAAAAATGCATACTGGCCATGTAGGGCATCTCAAGCTTGACTTCCTCACAAGAGTCTTAGAGAAGAAGTGGAAATCCTCATCCTCAACTATTTTTAGAGGAACAGAAATTTAAATATTTACCCTCTATTTGATAAAAGATTA